ATTACCCTTATATCAGAGCAATGTAGAAGGTATCATTTTCTTTACATCTTCCTCTTTACACAGATTATGAGTTTCAGGTCAACAGCAACACAGTAAGAGTTAAAATGACCTCTACAGGAAAGGCAGAATGGAGGTTATGTGTCTGAATGATAGATGTTCCAAGGTCAGATCTAAGTAATTTTTAACTCACTATTATATATTTTCTATGCCTCTTTCCTCCCTAATAAATTCTATCAAGACAATCTTATGTTCTTTCTACTCCTACTTCCAGGATTCGAGGTTTATGGAAATGATGCACTGAGATTGAGCAGGCCAAGATCCTCAGAGATGACATGAAACCTTACTTACCTCATTAGCGGCTCAACGGAAGCTTGGGCACCCAACAGAGATTTACAGAGAATCACAAAGAGTCTGTGTGCCACTTTGGGGAAAGTAGATTCCCAGAACCATTCCTTAGACTTGGAGAATCTGGGGACAGGTAACAAGCTAAGACGTACCAGGGGGCAGGGAAGTAACAAGGTAACCATTTCATCCATTCAAAACTCTGCAGTCTATGAGGTGCTATGGGAGACAGAGGAGGATCAGTCAGCAAAAATTTCTCCTTCATGGGGCTTATGTCCTATTTGTTACCTAGATCCAGGCTTCTCCTTGGTTTTCCTTAAGTAACATTACTATTTAACTATTATAGAATTTACAATTTACACTGGAATTCATAAACTCAAATGCCTAAAAGGCCAGCCATAAATCAAGTTGATTTAAGTCCACAGGACATGGTAATGTTTGGCAAATTCTGGTCTAAAAATATAATCAATTTTTTTTTTTTTAGTTAGTATTCTGGGGTAAGTGTCCATACCTGAAGACTTTATGGTCTAGATTTCTATAAACAGATTCAACTGCAGGTAAATTTTTAATAAAATTTAAATGTAATCATAAAAAATGATTACACACATAGTAAACATGACTCCTATCTTTAGACCTTTTTTATGAAAATAAATTCACAAATTTATCCAATAAATTTATCCAAATTTATCCTGTGATCTATTTTTGATTAAACAAATAAACAAAACAAAAAAAAATTTAGTGAAAAAATATAAAAAGATGTCTAGAAAGCCTGGGTTCTAGTCTTCTTTTTGGTGACTTTCTATATGGTCTAGGACAAACCGTAATCTTCTAGAAACTCCTCTCAGGATTATTTTGAGATGCTAAGGAGATGTATGTGTAGGTGCTATATTCTGAGAATGCAGGGAGAGCGAGCTCCCTGGTGTCTTTTCTCATAAAGGCACCAACTCCATCACAAGAAACCCACTCTCTGACCTCATCTAAACCTAATTATCTCCCAAAGGCCCCATCTCCAAATGCTATCAACATTGGGGGTTGGTGCTTCAACATATGAATTTTGGGAAGACACAATTCAGTTCATGACAGCAGTTCAGCATGTCTCTGATAGGTTGGGTAGAAGAACACAACTACTTTCCTCAGGAAGTTAACAGAGAAGGGATTAAAGAAGATTCTTTGAGTTGGTATAGTATATCAAAGGAAGGAAGATTACAGCAAGTGAGTTTTCTGTTGGAGATCCTGATGATCACTTCAGGAAGGAGACAGATGGGCGCCAGCTGAATAGTTTCTCCCCTGTGGACAGAAACTCCATAAAATCAGGATGACTGAGGAAGCTGGGACCTACCTAGATAAGAGTTAAAGATCCCATATCCTCTTTCTCGAAGTCAAGGAGACGTCTGTGACTACACATGTGCAGAAAGGCTCTTTGGAGGTCAAAAAGGGAGGGGCCACTACCCCATTGTAAGTGATGTCAACTACTCATAGGCCTCTTTGCTAGAATTCAGCTTGGCTAAGAGATGCACTTGGACGCATGGGAGGACCCTGAGATATATACCAAATACAAGACTCAGAACCAGGAAAAGCAAGATAATTAGCCAAAGGGAATCCAGAAGAAATGCCCCATAAAAGTGCTTCAAACCACCACGAGGGCATGACTCTCTGAGCCCACCCGTGTGTCCTTGTACCCTTTTCCTCCTAGTGAACACTTCACTTGTTTCACCGCTTTCCGTTTCCATGTGGAAAGTCACTTGCACACAGCTGACAGGACAGGGCCTCGCCACCGGCTGTGCTGGTCTAGCAGCAGGACTCGCTCCAGTGCTGCCCTGTAGCAGCATCTCTGCGGCCCAACCTCCACCTCTGGCCAGGAATGGAGATCCTGCCTCAAGCTGCTGCAGGCTGAGACCACCCAAGATCAACACGACACTTCAAATTATTTGAAGTAATGAAAACATGAATAGAACTTTTATAAAACACTATGAGAAGGACTCGGGATTCTTCAGAGAACTTTGAAACAATTTTAGAAAACAGATGCAGGCTACATTTCACTCATTCTCTTTGAAACAGAACTTTGTGACAGTCAGGGCTAGTGGTGGAAGCTAGACTGAGGAAAGATAAATGTAATATGGAATTCTGGCAAAGACAAGAGAGAATTAACTATCTGCCAGGCACTCTTTTCATGTCTAGACTCAAATGTTTAACGGGTTTAGAAGTCATTAAAACAGCCAGGCGGGCTGTAGCTTGAGCAAGATACACAGTAAGGTCATTCAGATGTTGAAGGGCCTTTCCAGAGGGTTTACTCTGCCTCTTCTACAAAGATATGACACTTTCTGGAGATTAAGTGCTGCTTCTAGAAGAGGATGATGACTCTGTTCTAACATGACCAAGAGAAAAGAGGCCCCATTGGACCAGCTTCAAAAGCCCAGAAAGAAGAAATGAAATAATTAAGCTGGCATCATTCATTCAAATGAACTCGAGAGGTCACCAGAGCTGTGAAAGTAGGGAAGAGGAGTAAACAAAGGCATCAGGGAGAAAGTGGTTAAAACAACAACAACAATAAAAGTAGAGAAGAAAAGGAACTAGGTATCCAGCAAGCAGGAGAGAGAGCTCCCTGCTGAGAAACAGGATGTGAGATTTATTTGAGTTCCTCAGAAAAGGAAAGGAACAAGAGACCATTTCAGGAAATTAAAGGAAGAAAGAGTGAAGAAGAAAACAAATCCACTGAGAAATCAATAAGAAATAGAAAATCAATAGTACTAGTTGGCACTAGAACAGATCTTTTCAACTTAAAAACATATTGTCAAGTATATTACAGTTACCAGCACAGCTCCTTGCATATATAAGGTGTACACTATTTGTGGAGTGAAAGAATATTATGAAATCCCCATAACAACCCTGTAACCAGGGAGTACTGAACTCAAAGATTAACATACTGAAATATGACAAAATATATACATGTAATATAAAAAGAATAACATCTAGAATATGGGAGAGACAAACTAGCTACAATTTAGAACTGGGACAAACTTTTAGATTTGTGAAGCATCTGAAATTAAACGAAAAGTTTGTTTACATTTTTCTTGTGAGAGGCATTAGAGCTTTTAAAAAGAATTTCTAAAAAAAAAAAAAAAAAAGAATTTCTATGTGAGTTTAGTAAGAATTTAGGGGGGGGGGGTGTTCAGGATGGGAGCAACACCTGTATACCTGTGGCTGATTCATGTTGACGTATGGCAAAAACCATCACAATATTGTAAAGTAATTATTCTATTAAAATAAATTAATTAAAAAGAATTTCAGTGTGAATTTACGAGCAACTGATGTACTTATTATTAAATTATTAATTTGCACTCAGAAAGGATAGGTGGGAATTTATACACATGTATATATTCTTACAATTAGTTTAAGAAGTTCGAATAAAAATGAGTGCAAAACCACTAAACAAAATTTCATACCTAGGTTATAGTTTTATGTGTATGTACATCTGAATTAACTTTTGGATACATCTAATTACAAAGTAAACAAAATCTCAACAAAGATTCAGACCAACACTACTGCTTTGTTATTCTCTTTATATCCTACTCCCCACATGCCATCCCTAACAATTTTTAGATACATTTCGTCATTCATGTTCCTAATACTGCCTAGCAGTTATGAAAACACCAAGGACACTTCGGGCTCTAAATCTGGTTTTTCAATAAATGTTAAAGACACTTTCACATTGAATACATTCACTAGTAGTAATTCTTTAAACTGGAGAGTAAGCAAAATACACTATTTCAGAAAAGTTACACATTCTAATGGAAAGAACTAGACAGACATACACCACAGCAATTCTATATAAAGCTCATGAAAGCTTCCAACTTGAAACTCCCTGCGGGAAATCTACAAGAAACAAAACTGAAACAGACAACACCGGTGCCCTGCCCAACCCCTTACTGAAGCTTCAACTACTTGGCATTGAATTTTAAGACATTATTACGTTTCTCTAATTATGAAAACAAACTTGAGGACACATATTTGTTACTGTTACTTAACTGGCTCTCCTTGCCTTTAAACTAGGCAGAGAACTGAAAACCACTAAAAGAATTACTCTGGTGTGTTCTTTAAAAAGTTATTTTGCATTATTACCAAAAAACCCCAGACATGAAATCAAATCAGCCCTAAGACGAAGCAGAAACACTGGGCGGGGGAATCTGTTTAAGAGCAGTCTTTGAACCGCTGAACATTCAGGGATCATGTATACTACTTTTCCTTCTTTCAGAGTTAGGGCTTGGGCGGGGGCGGGGGGGGTGGTCAAGCTTAAACAGCTGCAAGAAAGGCTGGACAATAAAATCAGAGGTCATTTAAAAATAGCCTGGAACGGTGAAAACCTACAGAGAAGCATCAAGGTCAAAATAGTATTAAGGGTTGGGCAGATAGCTTTCTCTGGGATAGGTACTGGGAGATCTCAAACGACACGAATGGGGGCTGGAAGGAGAGGGAGTAGCGAGTAAGTCAGGGGATGAAAGAAAAAAGCCCGGCAGGCCGCGTAGAAGACGGAGAAGGGAGGCCGAGCCGGAGCAGGGACGGGTGGGGGAGGTCTGGCGGAGGAGGAGGAGGAGGCGGAGGAAGAGGAGGGGGCCCGGCCCCGCCCCGGGGAGGCCCGAGAGCCCTCCCGCCCCCCTTACCAGAGGGAGCAGGAAGCCCCAGAGCAGAGCGGCCGCGGCGGGGGGCAGCGGCGGCTGCCGACCCATCGAACTGACGGGGGGGCGCCGGGCGGCGCGTGCAGGCTCAGCGGGGCAGGCTCCGGGGCCCGTCGCGGTGCTGCCTCGGTGGCCGGGCGGGACAGGGTCGGACCGCGGCGCTTGACTGGGGCCGCCGCGGCTGCTGGAGCCGCCGCTGCGGCGCCGACTTCCTCTTCCGGCCCCGCCCGGAGGACGCGGAAACCCCCACGGGCCATGTGGAGTGCGGGGCGGCGCGCGCCTCCCGCCAGGCTCCCGGAGCTTCCCGACGCTGGCGGCCACAGGCGGCGGGTCTGGGCGTGTCTCTCTCCAGCTGCCTGACCTGAACTGTCCCCAAGTCCTGGCAGGCGAAGGGACTTTTTCAAGGCCTTCTTCTTTGAAGCCGCGGAGCGTCTGTTCTCTTCCCCAGTAACTACCCAGGTGTTCGAGCCAGAATCCTACAAGCTCTGAGTCTTCTCATCTCCAGCAGTCCTAGGCACGCTCATGCTATGTCCCAAATCGGGTCACCTTCTCCCGAATCGCTGTGATCTAGGCCACTGATGTCTCTCTCCTCCAAACTGGTTTCAGTTTCCGCTCCCCACAGACCATTGTCCACCCAGCTGTCCAGGAGAGATCTTTTTGAAAATGTAAATCAGATCATGTCACTCCTAACCACACTTGGAACAAAATCAAAACTCTACTCTGGACGACGATTATATAACATCGTCCTTGCCTTCTGTGACCCCATCTTCACGATTTTTCCATGCTTGCTTTAAGCCGCGCGGGCCCCCTTTGTTTCTTCTGGTCTTTGTAGTGGTAGTTCTCCCTGCTAGAATGCTCTTCTCTCTAAATACGCAGCACTCTGGCATTCACTTAGCAGCTTAAATGTCATTTTCTTAGTGGGAACTTATTGACATAATCTAAAGTAGCCACCCAGTCACTGTCATATCACATGATTTATTTAAATTCTCTGCATAGCACTTTTCACTCTTGCATTCTCTTATTTACCTCTTCGTTTATTTATGATATTGATTCCCATTTGATAGAAAGGAGTATCTTTGATTTGTTCACTCCTCTATCCATTACAACATTTGGCATAAAGGTGGTCCTCAGATATTTGTTGGATGAATATTCAATACCAAACACTGAATACAATGCTGTCCCTGCCATCCCACAGCTCAGGGTTTAGGAAAGAACAGAGATGTGTGAGCAAATAGTTCAAGGTGACTAATGACTCTTTTGTTTGCACAAGATGCTATGGGAGTATCAAAGGAACACTTAAAGGAGTGCCAGGAAAAATTTCAACTTAAGCTGAGTCTAGAAGGCTGAGTTAATTTTAGGCAGGCAATGGGTAGGGGAAGGGGGAGACTTCCAGGAAGAGTGAACCATTAGTGTCAAAGCGAAAGGTGACATTGGAGGAACTGCAAAACTCAGGCTTGGCTGAAGTTATGAGTGATGATAGATGAAGTGAGAGAAGAAGGCAGAGGCCAAATCACAAATAGATGGGAGAATCCTGCTTGGAATTTTAGGCTTCAGCTAGTTGGTGGTGGAAAGTGCAGTGATGGACAATTTCTGTTTAAAAGCTCACTGTGGTGGCAGACAGAGTGGCAGATAGGATTGAAACAGGGCAATACAGAAGCCAGGAGAACTGTTAGACAACAGAGTAGCCTGGCAGGCTACAGTGCGTGGGATCACAGGAGTTGGACACGACTTAGCAACTAAACCAACACCGCCACCACCACCGGTAACCTAACCCAAGCAGGAGTAGTGAGGGCCTGAACTGAGAGAGAAGTGGCAGAAGAAATGGAAAGGAGAACGAGGTGGTGGGTCCAAAGACTGTGGCAGGATTTGGTATAACTGAGGGGACATGGGAGATGAGGAGAGGGATGGTTCTCTGGACCCTGCCCTGGGTCTTTTATTGAGATGATCATCACAAGAGATGGAAGAGACGGGATGGGAGAGGAGGAAGAGATAATTTTGAACTTGAGTTTGAAATGTTTGTAGGACATTCTATTGCAAATGTCTGTAGGTTAATGGTAAGTCTGAGACTTAGTGGTACAGTGAGGCCAGAACTCAGGTCTCCTGTCTGTTAATCTGAATCTCTTCCCATTTTCTAGCTGCCTAGGGCAAGTCAAAGTTCCCTTTTGCAAAATGAGTGTGATTAGATGACTTCATCTCTAAATATTCCCTTCTGCCCATAATGGCCCATTGCCTAGTGAATCTCCAGGGTGGCTCCTCCGGCTGTCTCAAAATCTCTGGTTTTCCTGTCTGGAGTTACACCATTTTTCTCTCCTCTCAGTTGGGGAAAATTTTGTGCCTGCAGTCAAAGAACCTGTGGTATAGGCTAGTTCTTGTGCAGTCTCTCTTTACCTGCTTTAGTTTTTTTCAGCTGAAAGATATGGACAGTAAAACCTGTTCTGTCTCATATGAGTATTGTAAAAATTACAGGATTTGTAATTTGGGTGTAATTACTCCATTTTTTAAAAATAAAAAAGTAGGGAGAGGAGGAGGAAAAAATAGAAGGCTGTGCTATTGCAGCGTTAGCACTGTTTGTCGTAATTCTGCTAGAATTTTTTCTCATTGGTCAAAGTCCCTGTGCATGATGAAGGAAAATGGAAGGGTTAATGGAAATTTTAAAAGAGTTTAATAACTTTACTATTGGGATGGCTGTTAAAAGATTTAGAGTATACCTCTGTTACACAGTTAACTTCCTTGGAAGTGTCAGGTAGGGTTAAAGTTATGTTGGATAATTTTTAGTCAATATTTTTCTCCTCTAAATAAACTATGTATAAAAACTCATTATGGAAAACAAATATCATTAATTAAAGATTGTTTTAATTTCTAAATATATTGAATTAATGAAATTTTTTTTCCCAGTGATAAAAGATAGAATGCTATTGGTCGTCAGAATCTTTCTGTGTTCTAGGAAATGGGCAGGAACTATAGGCCCCATTTTACAAATGTGCTAGGTGAAGCAAAGGAGGAGGAGCTGACACTGTCTCCTACCCTAGTTCACTAGAGATCATTCATACAACCTGTAATTTCCCAGTACTTCCACAGTGTTTTTTACTCAGAGGACATTGATGAAGTTTTGGTCATGAGCCCCAAAGACTTCCTTGGGCAATCTAGATCATTGCTATAGTATAGAGCAATGATTCTCAGGGCTTCCCTGTGGCTCAGATGGTAAAGAACCTCCCTGCAATGCAGAAAACCCGGGTTGGATCTCTGGATCAGGAAGATCCCCTGGAGAAGGAAATGGCAATTCACTCCAGTATTCTTGCCTGGAGATTTTCATGGACAGAGAAGCCTGGTGGGCTACAGTGAATGGGGCCGCAAACAATCTGACACAACTGAGCGACTAACACACACACACAGTGATTCTCAATCTTGATTATTTTTATCAGAATCACACAGGAGAGCTTTAAAGGATACTGATGTCTGAGTCCCACGACTCCCCTTACCCCATGCAGATCTTATATTTAATTGGTCTGGATGTAGTCTGGGTATCATAATTTTTAAAACTCCTCAGGTGGTTCTAATATGAATATAAGGTTGAGAAGCTTTGGCTTATTCGGTGATTTTAAAACATGGCCTCTTGAACACTTGAGGCAGTATCAACTTGAACACAGTATCAACACTACCTGGGAACTGTGAGAAATGTGAATTCATCCAGACCTGCAGAATCAGAAACTCTGAGAGAAGGGCCTAGCAATCTGTGTTTTAATAAGCACCCTAAGCAATTCTGATGTATGTTGAAGTTTGAGAATTATTGGTTATGGAGCAACACCCCTTAAAGATGCCTGCATATTAAAATCAGATGTAAAGTTAAAAAGCAAACCCTGTGCTCCAATACTAATCAAACTGAAAGAAAAAATAGACACATCCATGACTATTGCTAAAGATTTCAACTCTTCTCTCTCAATAATTGAAAGAACAAGTGGGCAGAAAATCAGTAAATACAGAAGACTCGGTCAACATTATCAACCAACTTGACCTAATTGGCATTTATAGAACACTCCACCCAACATATGCATAATACATATGATTTTCAAGTCTACATGGGACCATTTGGTCATAAAACAAATCTCAATAAAGTTCCAAATAATCCAAGTATGTTCTTTGACTACACAGAATTAAATTCAGTTCAGTTCAGTTCAGTTCAGTTCAGTCACTCAGTTGTGTCCAACTCTTTGCGACCCCATGAATCACAGCACACCAGGCCTCCCTGTCCATCACCAACTCCCGGAGTTTACCCAAAACTCATGTCCATTGAGTCAGTGATGCCATCCAGCCATCTCATCCTCTGTCATCCCCTTCTCCTCCTGCCCCCAATCCCCCCCAGCATCAGAGTCTTTTCCAATGAGTCAACTCTTCACTTGAGGTGGCCAAATATTGAAGTTTCAGCTCCAACATCAGTCCTTCCAATGAACACCCAGGACTGATCTCCTTTAGGATGGACTGGTTGGATCTTCTTGCAGTCCAAGGGACTCTCAAGAGTCTTCTCCAACACCACAGTTCAAAAGCATCAATT